TGTCGCTCAGTTATCTTGGTTTTTGCAAGCAGTGCACCACATGAACCCCACAAAGCGCTCGTCGTTAGTGCAAGAGCTGAGCATCTTGTCGCTCACCTCTCTTCGTCCTTTGGCCCACCATGTTTTTTGGATAGAGGATTAAAGTGAGGACCTGCACTGGTACAGCCTGTTTAAAAAAAAAAAAAAAGCTAAATTGTGAATCAAAATAACTATAAATTCTAAATATAAAATGATCACTGCTAAAACATCCAATGATGAAAGCAATAAGCTGTATCATGATTTCTGGGATAATAAAACCAGGAAGCAACACCCCAGGCTGTAAATAGAAGTGCTAACTACTGACGCTAGTCGAGTTAACATCCTTCTCTGGCTTTGGTTTCTTCTTTGTAAAATATGAAAGTCAGACTTCATGTTCAACGGCTCTTTGATAACTAAAAAATCCCATGGGTTTATGACCCCGGTTTCTAAGAAGGTACCATGCTGCAATTTATCTCCCCACCAACAAACCACCAAGGTGTTCTGCCTGCAGCCTTTACTTGGTGCAGGCAGGATATTAAACGACATCTACGTCCACGGGCCAAAGCGGCTGCCCCGCACAACTCCAGGGAGTGGCATTCTCATCGCATCCTGTGTAATGGCCCTACTGTGGGCCACAGGATGCCATTCACAAAGACCACAACTGACAGTGCAAGAGGTCCTTTCGCGACCGCCCCTTTCTTCATTCAGCAGCCAAGGCAAAGTTTCCAGTGTTTACAGCTCCTACCCAGCCCCTGGGGAGCCCCATAGGGGAAGAGAGAGAGCAGGCAGGTTAGAGGAAGTCACTTAGCAACTCAAAGCAATCACCTCCCAAACTAAGAGGCAGAAGAGCATCAAGTCTGGTCATTATGGAACTATTGAGAACCAAACCATGCTATGTGAAACACGTGTTCTACAAAATGAATCAAGTTCTCATCATAAGGAGTCTGTACACAAAGCTCACATTATTACTCAAATATAGCAAAAGAGCACCAAATACATTTTACCCTATGAAGTTTTGTTAACTTGCTTCCAATCCCCAATTGAGAAAAATCAAACTCATTCCAAAGCGTACTACCTTCTATCTTCAGTTTGTATCTCCCCCTCCTACTGGGGACTGAACCCAGGGCCTACCCACTGAGCTAGACTGCCCACCTGTGCATTTTATACCACTGTGCTTGCATGCTGGGTACGGAGCTGTTCGCACCCAGCATACTACAAAAACACTAGAGCCTGTGCCTGAAGCAGCCACTTTCAACCCCTGGCTCACAACACCTGGAGAGCTAAGGTATAGGTGGTCGTTACACCAGCACATCACCTACCTTGTGTGTTATCGCCAAACTGATGGACATGGAATCCGTGCTGGCCTTCAGCCAATCCTGTAATGCGTCCCTTTACCACAACCGGCCCGTTTGCCTTTATTCAAGGAAAAGTACATTAAGTTTAGTAGCCAAAACATACCACCCTATTCCACTGCACCTGACGGGAGTGAGTCTAGTCTAAGCAGAGGTACCACTGAAATCTAGGTAACTTTTCTTGATAACAAAATAAAGATATTAAAGCAGCAGGAAAATTAAAGCAGTGTCGCATGCCTTTCGGGCCATATGGTGCCACACGCCTACGTCCACTCATCAGGGAAGTTACTATCACAGCTCCAAAGCAACCTCAGGACCTGAGAGAAGAGACACAGCAACCACACCACACAGTGAAGACACGCACTGCGTTGTATTTACAGTGGGTGGTTTTTAAATGGCCGGGGCCAGCAAGTACAAAATTAAACTCAACTATCCATTCTCCTGCCCCTGAATTTCACACACCTGTGTGCAGCTGCACTCCTGTCCCACATTTCTGTAACCCACTTTTAAGTAAACCTCGCTCATAAATACTCCTGGTTTTTAGGCCATAAACAATGAAATTTCCAATTAGTAACCTTAAGATTTGATTTGACAAATATTCCAGCAACTGCCCTTTTCCTTTTTCGAGAAACTATACTGAGTCTTCAGGGTACAGTGTTAATTCTGCCAAAACTCAAATGTGAATTTTCCCACCCAGCCACAGTGTTACCAAAGCAGAGAGTCAAAAAGGACAGGGTCTTTGAAACCTCCGTTTAATGGGTAATGCACAGCCTTCTTAAAAAGTAGGCTGTCTGGTATCATACAACCCACAGGGACCATGCTCACCTCCAGCCGAGTGACAGGCCTAGAAGGATGTTTCATACAAAATTTTGTATAAAACAAAATGTTTTATACAAAACATTAGTATAAACTGCCCCAGGTCAGGGCTGTCTAGGGTTAAGGGAGGCCTAGCAAGAACACAACTCCAAAGTCTTCAAGATACACTAGGAAACTGGTCCTACAAGTAAAAAAAAATACCTATTTTTAAAACTGTGCAGCTAATCCAAAATTGTAACACTCAATAGGCCAAACCGAAAGAATTTATACATGAACTGCATGTGCCAACTTGCAGGACTGTAATGCTTCAATATCCAAAGGTCTTTATCAAGTACAAAGGGCACAAATACGAAGTTTGGATATGGGCTGAAGACCCACGCAAGCTGCTCGCGCAACTGGGCAGCCGGGCCTCACACCCCTCAGCGGCAGAGGGACGGGTCCCTCCGAGGCTTCGCAGGATTCACCAGTGCTGGTGAATTAAGTGAAAAACGGGGCAGTGGCAAGTCTTCCAAATGAAGCACTGCAAAATTTAGCCGAATGCAAAAATGTTACTTTTTTCCAGAAAATGTAAAGACCAACTAAAGAAAAACTTAAACTCAAATATCAGCTCTCCCTTAAAGAAACTGCACACACTGTTTCTGTCCGCATATATTAAATATTCTCATTGTCAGGTGGCGTGTAACAAAACTTCCCGCCAGTTGGTAATTCCACCAACGTTCTGCTGACAGTCTTATCACAAGTACCTTCCCTGCCAAACATGTGCTTTGCAATATTACTGGCAACGGGTATTTCTGAAAATGTTCTACAGGACTTGTTCAGCGCATGCGCTAGGCCCTGAGGTCAATCCCCAGCATTAAAAAAATTTTTTAAACTTGTCTTTGACTCTCTCATCGACCTGCCTACAGGTAGTGCAGCTTTAAAGTCACTTTACAGAGAATTTGCCTGAAAGAACGCTGCAAACAGTTACAGAGCGCCAGCTCCATGGGATGGACACTTCAGGTCCGGCAATTTCCAAATTCCACGCCGCGCCACCGTACATAGGTCTCAAACTCAGATGCGTATTAAAACCACTTTGGCCACTTAAAAAAAAAAAAAAACCTGCTATGACTGCACTGTGACAAATCTCTGTCACTGGTCTGGGGCTGGGCCCTGCAGTCTGTTTCCTAAAAGGCCCCGCGAGTGCACGGACACCAAGGGACAGAATCGCAGCCCTGGAAAACCCTCCAGGAGTCAGCAAGGTCTCCGGCTCCTGCAGCCTCGAAACAGGAGAAGGGTCCTTGTGCACGGCCACCTTCTTCGTCCCCGCGGCCTGACCATGACCCACCACAGGACGGCCCAGCGCTTTGCTGCGAACTGCCTGCCACACACGCTCTCTGCGGTTCGCTTCTCCCCATCACTATACAGTACAAAAGCCCTTTAGCCCCGCAGCTCCACGCAAACGGTTCGCACACCCCTGACCTCCACTGGGCACCGCCGTCCGAAAGGCAGCCCCAGGGGATAACGGACGCGCCGGCCCCGGCGGGCCCCGCGGCGCTCCTCGGCCCCGGAAATCGGACTGCGCCACTCCGGGTCCCCGGGATCCTCCGCCGCGAAAAGCAAAAACGAACCCCCAGGCGCGGCCCACGCCGCGCCCACAGCGTCCGCTCCGCACCCGGGC